GGGGACAATGCTAGATGTCAGAGGTGGGAGATGTCGGGGTGGGGGGATAGGGGGTGGAGGGGGCAGTAGCTTGTGCAGAAGTAGGTAATTTGTGTGTCTGTGGGGGACAACGCTAGGCATCAGGGGAGGGGCATACAAAACACAGGTAGCTTGTGCAGAAACAGGCAATCATATATGTGTGTGTCTCTGAGGGAACCTGTCTGGGAGGCAAATACTTATGAAAACTGACGTGTTTGTATGTTTGAAAAGCTTCACTTTCACCTGAGTATTTCTCACTCTCTTTCGGTGTATTTGGTTTCAGCTTTAGTTTTGGTAAGAGTTTTACGGCACTTGCAACACAACAAAGTCATATAAGTGCCGAAGATTAGAGGTGCTACAAGAGAGTAACAAACACAAAAAAGGAGGAGAGACGAGGACGATAGATGTCTGTTAGGAAAGAAGGAGCAAATCACACCAGAGCACCCACCAACCACCCGCTCGGTGTAATTGGATCTTTATGTGGAAAGTTATAGCATTCTAAATGGCATGGGGGCCAAAGGATAAGATTTGGAAAAACGGCTTCCAAAGTATTCCATAATGAGGTTGCATGCAAGGTGAAAGCAAAGACACGCATCCCACCCGTCTTCTGCTGCCACAACACTCATACACAGAGCCTCACCGAGAGGTGAGAAAAATCATCTTTTGTTTTGGTATTTTACAAACGGAAGTTTGCTTTAAAATTTGACCCCAACAACTTTTCACAACCTAAGACAAAGTGAACATGATATCAAACAACGGTTCCGTAAGGTGCTCAGAGCCACAAATGACCCGAGGAAATGTTTCCCTTTGAGTACAAAACTGTAATAAAGCTGATCACTTGAAATGATGTTAACTAATTGCGGTGCATTTTCCAACTCTTTTTCAGTATCCTACACCTCCCTCCCGCCCCCCATCTCCCCCTTTTCTCTCCCTCTCTCTAACTCCACCCTTAAGACCCTTTCTCATTTTTCTTTACTTTTCAGTACTGAGGAAATCAGTCTTTAAGAATTTCAAGTTCTTCTTAGTTTAGTAAGTGTTTTACAGCACCTTCAACACAATTAGGTCATAGAAGTGCCTAAGATCAGAGGTGTAACAAGAGAGTACACACAAAAAAAAGGAGGGGAGATAGAGACAATAGAAGTGTGATAGGAAAGAAGAAACAAACCACACCAGAGCACCCGCCAACTACCCACTGTAAAGTTCCTGACATACTGACTTTTGATTGGTCGGTTATCATGTGACTCCTGGGAATAGGTGCTGTGCACGCTGTGGATGCTGTCTGCACGACTAATCCGCCCCGTCTCCGAGTGAGATTCGTCCTGGTGGATCAAAGGTGAAATAAACAAAACAAATAAATAAATATATGGGATATAGCAATCAGGAACAGTTCACGTATTACGTCAATTCGCAGCTTCATCAAATGCTCGGAATGAACAAAGAATAAGTGAACAAATTTACAAATCTGAAGAAAAATTACACACAGTTTGTCTCTTTTCAGACTGACACAGTCAGTACAAACAAAATGGTGCATAGCAACATCTTGAATTTTCAACAAATTGTCCATATTTAAAAAAAAAAAATTTTAAACACCATAATCTGCACAATTAATCTACATACATGTACATACAGCAGGCACAACCCCCCCCCCCCCCCCCCCGAAAGCACAGCATTAGACCTAATACTAATGACAGTACTTCCATCATTTTGTGTCGGCAAGTTTTCACATGTTTGCATACTAAAAACAGTTAACAGAAAAAAAAGATTTTATAATTTCAACTGCTGATTGGACCTTTTAAACTCAATAACAATCTTATTGTATGTGCGTGTGCATGTGCATGAGCGTGTGTGTGAGTGTGTATGTGTGTGTGTGAGTGTGTATGTGTGTGTGTGTGTGTGTATGTGCATGTCTGATGGAATGTGCCATATGACGCATTTTGAGGAAATGTGTTTTATTGCTCTTTTTGAAACACAAATCATTTCTGAACAACTTGCTTTTTATCTTCTGAGATAGCTTCAGCACTTTGCAAGATCTGGTTAATATTATCAGGTAGGGTGCGTAAAAATTTTTTGGGAGAAAAATGGCTCCAGAGGTTTCTTTATACCGGGTGCCCATTACGGATGGGATCGGGTCAGGTCCGGTTGATCTCCTGACTCGTCGTCTGAATACAAACGCGTTTGTTTTTGAGGCAACGAGCCAGGCAATCAGTTTGTGCCATGATAGCCGCATTGCGACCTCAATCTGGCTAGCAAACCAACCCGACAAAACCGATCGTGCCAATGGACACCCGGTATTAGACGCGCCATAAAAAAAAATTTTTTAAACCACCTCCGTGCAGTCAATAATTACAACAGGGAAGCTCTGCACCAATAGCCACCTATAAATACGAGCTAGAACTCACGTTGTTCTCCAGGCTATTTGAGCCTTCTGGTTTGTTAGAGGGTGCCACTTCAGAGTGACCTTCAGGCTGCCAGGATAACAATCTGGAAGATAAATAAATGCTTTCAATGAACTGATAGATACCACTGGATGACAGTGTAACTGAAATACAGGAGTTTTATTCCTTTTTTTTTTTTACGCAAGAGTTTTACGGCACTTGCAACACAATAAAGTCATATAAGTGCCGAAGATTAGAAGTGTTACAAGGGAGTAACAAACAGAAAAGAAGGAGGGGAGATAAAGATGATAGATGTTTGATAGGAAAGACGGGAGCAAACCACACCAGAGCACCCACCAACCACCCACACAGAGTTTTAAGTAAAGTAGATGTAAAAACGCAAATGGAGAGACGTTCCTATCAGCAAACAAATATCAAAAGATGACAGCATAAAAAGAGAAACAGAGCTCTATATAGAGATAACAAATAACAATACATAAAGTTATTAACCCCCCCCCCCCCCCTTTACCCCCTCCAATCAAATACAGCATGAAATGATTTTTAAAAGTGACACAATAAAACAGCACTTGGTCTTAGTTTTTAGTAACAGTTTTACGGCACTTGCAACACAATAAGGTCATATAAGTGCCAAAGATTAGAGGTGTTACAGGAGAGAAACAAACATAAAAAAGGAGGAGGAGAGATCAGGACGATATAATGTTAGATAGGAAGGAAGGAGCAAAGCACACCAGAGCACCCGCCAACCACCCATGCACTTGGTCTCCACTCACTTGTGAGGTATGGTCGACTTGAAGATGTCCAGCATACAGGCACACGTCTGGTCCCAGGCCTTGGAGGAGAACTTATTCCCATTGGAGATGACCAGGTTCTCCAGGCAGTTGGTGCCCGATCTAACAAACAGAATAAAAATATATTAGGTAATAGCTTAAAAACACCAGGCTCAAGATAGATGAATAAATAGAACTAAAAAACGCATTTGTTTCGGGGTTCCTAAAAATAAAATAATTTTTGTTCGTGTGAGTAAGTAAAGAGAAACACTTCAACACAATAATGGTAATTTCCTAAAGGCAGTCTCTCAGAATTGAAGCGGACTGCAGTTTGTGCGCGACATCGAACTGACTGTCTAGCTGCAGGACTGGCAGACAGAAAAAGAAAAGAAGTTGAACACCTACTAGCAGTGCCCTCCAGCCGCCCCCATGACTTCCGGAAATTTCTCACAAATCACAAAAGGAGACCAAAGTAAAAAAAATGCCAGCACGCAAGCAGTCTCACCTGGCCAGCTGTTCGTTATCCTGCGCCACACACCACTGCAGCATCTGGTAGAGCTCTGTGAGCAGCAGGGGAGACAACTGCTGGTAGTACTGCGAGAACACGTCCACGATGGCGTACAGGGCGTGGTTACAGGTGGTCGTCATCCACTCAGATTTCTGTACAAATACACCACATGCCGCTCACTACTATTATCTTCAATAAATAACATGCATTCTGGGTTGTTGTTGTTTTGGTTTTTTAATTTCAGCCAGGGATCAAAAGATATTTTCTCCAGAATACACTGCAACATCTTTGCCATGTTTACAATTGACATATTTCCTGAGCTAAAATGGTTACATTATATATACCTAATAAGTGCCAAACTTTGTAAACAATAATATGAATCTCGGAGAATGAGTATTAGCTTTCAAAAGAGTGGAATAGCACTTGAAACACAAATATGGAAAATAAGTGCTGCTGAAGATTAGAGGCGTTACTAGAGAGTAATATACAAAGAAAAGGAGGAGAGATCAGGACAATAGATGTTTGATAGGACAGGAGCAGACCATATCACAGCACCTACCAACCAACCACTCGAAGAATGATACAAACGGGTTCTCATACACATTTCAAGAGGACAAAATGTATTACCCCTTTGCTCCCACCCAAAAATTAAAAACCATGTCTAGGGTGTATCTAACCCAGCAACTTACCTCACTTTAAATTTTACTTTTAGTAGAGGTTTTACAGCGCTCGCAACTGCATAAGGTCATATGAGCGCCAGAAGATTAGAGGAGTTACAAGAGGGTAACAAACATAAAACAGAAGAAGGAGAGATAAGGATGATAGATGTTTGATAGGAAAGAAGAAGCAAACCACACCAAAGCACCCGCCAACCACCCACTTACCTCACTTTGAGCCTCTGGCAACTTCATCACATCAAAAATTCTGAAGACAATCCTGAACAAATCCTTCCACCAGTGAGGCTGGAAGTTCTCTCCGTAAGTCTTCATGATCTCAAACATTACAGTCAAACCTCTGAGGACAAGAAAGTAGAGATGCTGAAAGTATGACTATAGAGGAGTATGAAGGGGAAAGAACAAAAAAAACTTCTTTAACGTTATCCGTTGGCCCTGAGGTCATTTTGTACACCCGAGGTTGTATTCTACACATTTTACAATACTTCCAGTATGAAGACCTCTTTGAAATTTTCAGTATTTCTCAAAAAATTATTTTGACAGACTGCTATGCAAAGCATATGGATCGGATTAACGAGTAAATTTCCTCTTTCGAAAGTGGTGGCACAGGGTTTCCAACGACATATGGATACGATAGTAAACCACGACGTACGTATAGGGTTTTAACCCCTGTCAGGCAACTAGCAGGAGGAATAAAACCCAGCATGAACCTGAGGACAAGAATTATGACTCGGCACAGAGAATCCAAATCTGCACAGAGCAGCAATAGCTTTTTTTAAAGAAAAAGTAAAGTAATAACACAAGATTTACCCCAAAGTAATACCACAAGATTTATGACTGGCCACACCCACAGTGTGCAGAGAGCACCCACCTGGTCCTCACATCCAGCTTGCATCTGTTGATAACACAGGAGAGCTCAAACAACACGGGGAACCAGCCCTTCACCCACACACGATCCTCCTCCGGCACTGAAATCTCCTCACCGGCGTGCTCCCGGAACATCTGAGCACACGACACAAAAAGATTAGCACAATTACAGAACATCTGGGCACATAACACAACTAATTAGCACGTTTACAGAGCATCTGAGCACACGACACACAAGATTAGCATGTTTACAGAACATCTGAGCACACGACACACAAGATTAGCATGTTTACAGAACATCTGAGCACACGACACACAAGATTAGCATGTTTACAGAACATCTGAACACACGACACAAAAGATTAGCATGTTTAAAGAACTTCTGAACACACGACACAAAAGATTAGCATGTTTACAGAACTTCTGAACACACGACACAAAAGATTAGCATGTTTACCGAACTCTGAACACATGATCAAAAAAAATTAGCACGTTTACAGAACATCTGAACACACGACACACAAGTTTTAGTTTTTGTAGAGGTTTTGCGGCGCTCGCAACTGCATAAGATACAGAAACAACTCGCCAGGTCGATCAGCACAACCTCCTGAGTTCCTTTGTAGGAGAGCCTTCCACCAGGATGAACAGTACAGTAGTTTCCCTTGTAGGGCACACAACATAGTTACACCAATATATTATGGTCCGAGATATAATTCTGTTACACACAGAAAGTAAATCTAACTAAAAATCTTAATTTTAAACACAAACATATATAACTTGCATGCCGTACATTTGGTTTCTCTGCCACGTATCTGGCGCAGTTGCGTATGAGCCGTATGGCTTCCATGCTGGTATCTGGGAACGCAGCGTTGCAGGCAAACTCTGACAGGCACTTGACAGCATCTTGGAATGAGTCGATGATCGCAGCAAAGTGCTTCTCAAATACACTCACTGAAACGGGAAAGGCAGAAAGTAATCTCATTGGATTTTCGGTCCAGACAGAGAGATGTCACTAGTCATGAAGCCTACAAAACCGTGTACCTTCTTCAAATGCCAGATCTGAAACAGACATCAGCGAGCATGGTTCCCAACTCATTTCTCTGCTCTGACACTCTTTGAAATCTATGTTTAAAAAAATTAGTATCATCCTGGTCTTATCCAGTCATCCATTTTTCAAGTTCTCTCCAAGTAAATTTTTCTTAGTCTTAGTTTAATTTAGTTTTAGTAAGAGTTTTACGGCACTTGCAACACAATAAGGTCATATAAGTGCCGAAGACTAGAGGTGTTACAAGAGAGTAACAAACATAAAAAAGAAGGAGGGGAGATAGAGACGACAGATTTTTTATAGGAAAGAAGGAGCAAACCACACCAGAGCACCCGCCAACCACCCACTTTTTTCTTAGTCTAACTCTGCCTCTTTTGCCTTCTCCAACTAAAACTTACAAATGATTTTGCCGGTAGTCTGGAATGACAGGTCCACAATGCCCTCATCGTGGTCTGAAGCCGCCAAGTGGAACACACTGAAGATGTTTTTCCAGCCTGATTTGATGTTGGCGGCCTGAGAATTGACCATCTGAGCCACACATCTCACAACCATGTCTCGGATTGCTGGGGACCTAACACAAGAAAACAAAGTGATTTTTAATCTACCAGTGCTGATACTACTAGAAGCACATGAAAGGATGCAAACAGGCAAAATGTTACAGGATGAAAAACCAATGGATGAAAGAAAGTAAAGCGCAGGAAAACTCTCCAAAGCAAAGTGAAAAAAAAAACCAGCACTATGTCAGTGAGATAGTTCTGAAGAGAGATTTGCTAAACTCCACTTTTGTCACCCCTAAGTGCTTGATCAGAAGCTTTTAGCTTGGACACATTCTTAATGTTCACAAACGACTAGTTGTGTGGACCAACAAACTGAAGTCTTCATATATATATCAGATTAAGTCATTCCTCAAGTAGGCTACAGATGCTGAACATCGTAAGGTCGTGGGTTCGAATCCCGTCAGGGGCCCGACGTTGTGTCCTTGGGAAAGGCACTTTACACGAATTTTCCTCACTTCACCCAGGTGGGAATGGGTACCCGGCTATAGACAGCGAAAGATCTTGTCAGTTTGTTAGTGTTTGAGCGCTTAATCAGCTGCTTGCACTGTATGCTTCCCGGGAAGCTGAGAATGTTTCGGAGTGTCCTATGGTCTGCTGGGGTAATAATATAGTGTAAAGCGCATAGAGCCTGCAGTTGAGCGGGGATATGCGCTATACAAATTCTATTTATTATTTATTATTATTATATACCCACAGTGATCAGCAAACGACATCGTGAGAAAAAGAACAAGAAGAACAAATCCTCTTGAACAGAAAGGATCATGAATAATGTAAATGTAAAAAAAAAAAGGGCCAATACACAAAAGAAATATTATGCTCTTGTTCAGTTTCAGTTTTCGTAAGAGTTTTATGGCACCTGCAACTCAATAAGGTCAGATAAGTGCCGAAGATTAGAGGTGTTACAAGAGAGTAACAAACACATAAAAGAAGGAGGGTAGATAAAGACGATAGATGTTTGACGGGAAAGAAGAAACAAACCACACCAGAGCACCCGCCAACAACCCACATTCTTGTTCCCTCTTAAGATAATAGAGTAAAATCGTTAACACTCAGTAGAAATTGTCTGAGGCTGTCACCCATTGTAGAGGAGAAAAGTGATTTTCTTAGACAGGTGGACAGATTGGAGATTGTCATGACAGTGTAAGAAAAACCCCTGCAACTGTAGAAGTGGGAAGTGGTCGTTTGTATAGGTGATTGTTTTGGACAGGTGTCCGTAAGTGCAGGTTCTACAGTATAGACAATACAGACCACATCAGACACCAGAGAAACAAAACAAACTTACTTGTTCTTCTTCATGATATGTTCGAAGGGCCTCAAGAAATCTTTCTGGAACCTGAAGTTGGCAAACTCTCCTTTCTCGATAAATTTCATGGACAGCTGTCGCAGGGAGTCAACAGCGAAGAAGGCGATGTCTTCACTAGGGTTACATCCAACCTGATATGAGCATCATTTTCAAACATGATAAATGAGTCTTGAGCAAAGAGAAACATATCGACATAATAACAGTCACTTAATGCTGAGAAAAACAAGACACAGAAGAAAAAAAAAACAAAAAAGAACTACCCTCCAAATACAAGCACAATAAATGAATTCACTTTGAAAAGGTAACACATGTCTACAAAGAAAAGAAATGAATTCTTTTAGCGACTGAAAAAATCAGGGAAAAGCAAAATGAATACTGATGGTATGAAAAAACAAAGGGAAAATAGGAAAAGAAAGGGAAACTCTCTCTCTCATACAGATGAATTCAAAACACATCATACTTGGTCACACAAAAAAAAACAGGATTGCATAAGTTTTTTTTCCTTTACTATCACTGATTAAAGACTAGCCTATATCCCACCACTTGAACATGCATTCTCCAATCTCTTCGTACATTTAACAAAACCCCCAGTAATTCTACAGTAAACACTTGAGCTTGCTCTGTCCACATAGGCGGTAGAATTCTCACCTTGTTGAAGTGGTCGCTGAGGTAGTGCCAGATACGTGACCACTGCAGCCTGATACGGCCCATGTTGTAGTACGAGATCTCCACAATCTTCTGCAGGCTGAACATGCGAGGGTGAGCCATACTGGCGAGTTCGTCCATCGACACCTGACACAGCGCCCGCGTGAACTCCACTGAAGCACAAGAAGAAGGGTTGGTCAGATTTAAACGCCACTCTCATCATCGGGTTTTAGACAAGGAGTTATAATTTTAGTGTTGGTGTAAGGGAAATATGCAGCCGAACTGGCCAAACACATAGTGACTGTTCCATAGAAGTTGTTTTGTTTTAGAAGAGGTTTCATGGCGCTCGCAACTGCATAAGGTCATATGAGCGCCAGAAGATTAGAGGTGTTACAAGAGAGTATCAAACATAAAAAAGAAGGGGAGATAAGGATGATAGATTTTTGATAGGAAAGACAAAACAAACCACACCAGAGCACCCGCCAACCACCCACTACTCATCATTGTGTTTTAGACACGGAGTTACAATTTTAGCATTGGTGTATGAGAAATGTGCAGCTGAACGGGCCGAACACGTAGCGATAGTTCTGTAAATAGAAGTTCAACATCCTACAGAACTCCTTTACACAAACTGCTAGACCAAGGTTCATTTCTTGAGGGGTATTCACATCAAACTGTTAAACTTTGAAAAGGCAAGATGTACTTTCAGTACTACATAAATGCGAACACAGTAAAGGTTTCTCACCAATAGCATCTCCATCAAGCTTGACAGAGCCTGTGAAGATGCGGTCGACCGCGACAACGACACTCTGAGAACTGGTCTCTCCAACCGTCTCCTGGAAGTTGGCCAGGCGCTGGCGGTCCATGCTTCCCATGTTGCCCTTCACTATCACTGAGGGGGGGGGTAGGGAAAGTAAAATTGTTTACCAGTTAAAATCTTAAAAAAACCTAATAACATAAAACAGTTATGGACATACAGACAGACATACATATAGACCAACCGGTGAGCCAGCCAGCCAGCCAGTCAACGAGATAGACACACAGACCAAAACAGTAAATAGATTACACATTAAAAATATACTAAAGGGTACACAAATCTGAAAACTCAATCGACAGACATTGAAAATGATCAGATGTAATTTATGGCCAATCATATCTTCATTAAAAAAAGGAAGAGAATAAAACCTGACTATTATTTTAATGTGAATTCAATATTCAATCAAATCAAAAGTTGTACTTCTTTAAATGAGTTCAGAAGGGATGACCCGAGTCAAAATGACTCAAGTTGTTAGATTCCCAACATGCAAAACTTAGAAACGACACTTATACCCGTTTGTCAATTCATCTGCACTTTACTTTATATTTGGCTTACTACAATAAGGACACTTTGGTTGGGAAATGGTAATTTTTTTCTTTACTACTCGCGGAACATCTGGGTTCAAGTCTCGGTTTGGAGTTCGGACACAAATTTTTTTCAACCCCTCCTGCCAACCCAGCAGTAATGGGTACCAGACTTCGAGCTGGGGAAGTAAAGGTGGCGTGGAAAGGAACTGGGCACCCTACTACAATAGGGCAAAAGGCCCAGGAAGTTGTCTCACTAACAAGGCAATCCCCAATGTCCAGATTGGATGCGGGAACAATTTTTTACTCACTTTTATCTTTACATGCAATTTGTAACAGCATCTCCAAATCCGGTTTAAAGCAGAACTAAAATCAGCTGAAATACTTTACTTCCATTAAAGAGTCTACATAACAAGAGGGGCCACTTCTCTCTTTGAGCCAAATAAAAAAGTGCCCTCAAAATTTGGTGGCGCCCTCTTCGCAAATGCGCATCTTTTGCGAACAGAGTTACCCTACTTGAGTTTAAAAAATCAAAGTCAAACTAGCAAGTTTTTGAATAAATTTCGGAAGAACGCTTTTTTAAAATGGTTCCGCTGACAAAAAAAACCCTCTTCCGGAGGAAAGGGTGATTGTTTTCTTCGTTCAATTTGATTTTAGAATGAAAGGCGAGAGGTCATTAAAAAAACAAAAAACCCTAAAACTCCGCACTGAACGAACCCGAACTGCTTATGGACAGCAGTCGATCTGCGCATGCAAGGAGGTGCTATTCCTATTCTTCTTCTGGAAAAACGAAAGAGAGCTTCAAAACAGACTGCTGTGCCATCTGAAGCAAAGAGCGGATTTCCGGCGGACACTTTTTTGGCTGAGTGGCCCATCTTGTTATGTACTATCTTTGCTTCCATTTAGTATATGTACAATGCCAACATCTTTGTACGTCTGACTTCATTATAGATTAACATGAATGTCTGAAGTTAAAAAAACATATATATATACTTTAAAAGGTAGACAACAATGGCCCACCTTCAGGGTCATGAGCCTCCACTGGGTTGTTTGAGTGAGCGTGGGTTGCGCTGGCGATGTACTTAGTCTTCACTCCCGTGCCAATCAGCTGGGCCAACTCCAGCTGGGAGATGCACCGCAGGATCTGTCAAAAAACAACAAGTTGAGAAGAATGAAAAGACTGAAAGAAGAAAAGAAAGAAGAAAATATTGTTTACAAAGACACAATCCAGTATACAATAGAACATTTTAAAAACTGAAGAACATGGTTTAAAAAGCATGACATGGTAAATACTAGAATATTTAAAAACTAAGGTAAACAACGCAGTCAGGAGAGCCAATTTTTCCAAATTACCACGACTCAAAACAAACCGAAAAGATCTACGAACTGACAGGACCTTTCCCCATCTATTGGGTGAAGAGAGGAAAAAATTTGTGTAAAATGTCTTTTCTAAGACGCAACTTCAGGTCCCTGATGGAGTTAAAAAACCATGACCTTTTTGTTACGAGCCCGACAGCTTGACCATAAGACAGCGGATGCTACTATATCATCAGCCTTTCAGCCGAACCATACCTCGAGCCAGGACTTGCCCAGGTAGTTCCCGTCCGTGTGGGCCACGGAGATGAGCGTCTTGATGGTGTCGATGTTCTTTGTCTTCATCTCAGTGATGGGCGTGGCACAGGTCAGCAGGGTGAACCGAGCCAGGGCCTGGACGTACGCATCTCTCTCCAACTGGTTAGGCAGACAAGAAAATGACATTTGAAGTTAAAAATAAAGAAATTTAGTAAGCAACACATTTTGAACGAAAACTGACAAATGTTTTAAAAACCTTAAGAACAGCAAAAAAAATCAATGTAATGCTCTGGAAACTACGCTGTTCAAAATGTACGGACACAAAATCACAGGGGCTCTTTCATTCTAAGATGTATTGTTTAAAAAAAAAAGCAAAAAAACATGCAAATTTTTAAAATTACGTTTACAGATAAGACTTGTAAGGCACATTTGAAGAAGATGTTAGAAAAGAACAACACGAGTACAGTGTAAAGCCTTTAAAAAATGAACATAGAAGACAAAAAACAGATAATTTTGTTTTAGTAGAGGTTTCACAGCGCTCGAAACTGCATAAGGTCATATGAGCGCCAGAAGATTAGAGGTGTTACAAGAGAGTAACAAACATAAAAAAGAAGGAGGGGAAATAAGGACGATAGATGTTTGACAGGAAAGAAGAAGTAAACCACACCAGAGCACCTGCCAACCAACCACTTAACAGATAAAAGCCAAAAGAAAGGGAAGGACAAGAAGAAGGAAACATCACCCGCAGCTCTCTAAAACCGCAAGTAAAGTTACCTCAGAACACCGACCAACAAAACAGAAATTAATCCTCAAATCACTTGTTTGTTTGTTTGTTTATTTGTTTGAGTAAAGAGAAGCTCATCAACACAATAATACTCATTTAAAGCTGTGCAAAAGTCAGACAGACAGACAGAAATAACAGAGTTAAAGTAAAGAAGTAGGACCTACCAGCGGCGCCCTCCAACCACCCGCCCTCACATCACTAACCACCCAACCTTGCATTCCAAACCAAAGACCATGACCCCTGCGGTGGACAGATGGTGGGCGCCACTGATATACTGTTCTCCTTTTCTTTCCCTGTTGTTTCGGTTCATGTGTTTCACTTTTTCTTCACACTAAATTACCACTACGATGTCAATGTGCAATACTTTACTCAAATAAATGACTTCAAACCCAACCAACATACCTCCATGTGAAATATGCAAGCAATGCGAATAGCACAGCGGATTCCGTCCAGACAGAGCAGAGCTATCTCGTTGTCATCGCAGTCCTGTAGACCCACACTGAAGGCCGCCAGGAACGGAGTCCACGCCAACTGGGAGGAAATAAACACCCGACAACACGGATAGATTACATGATCGCTTTTAAGAACAAGGGGGCTATCCCAAAAAAATGCTGTTTTGAGAAAATCGAAGGTGAAGTTTTTGCCCCTTGTTCAGTTTCTTTAACAGACAAGGAGAGTTTTCTCCTTAATCAAACAAATATAGACACAAATGAAACCAAACTTCTTTTATGGGTAGGGCAATGCCCACTTTTGGAGTTGGTCAAAATTTCTGGAAACCCCGGAAATCAGGGTTGGCCTGCTTGTCCTTAAACGGACCATATGTATTAGATTTAAGAAGGAGTTGCTGTTGGATAAGCTTCAGATTATTTACCTTCAACACAGGCTTTATGTGGTTCAAGGGAAGTGATCATGCAGATAAAATACACTGATACAAGTGTATATTTATTTGGTAAGAGCTTTTCAGTACTTGCAACACCATTATGTCATATAAGTGCCGAAGATTAGAGGTGTTTCAAGAGAGTAACAAACACACACAAAAAAGAAGAGGAAATAAGGACAATAGACTTTTGACAGAAGAGAAGAAGCAAACCACATCACAGCAGCCGCCAACCACCCACATACAAGTATATGAACCCATGTACAATTAAACACTATACATAACAACAGAACACACTCTTAACATAATTACACCAAAGTTGCCCGTGAACATGGGCCTGATATGCTCTTTGAGCAGAAATCTGCTTAAAACTCTCACCATAAGCCAAGGCTGTGGTACATTTCACATATGCACACAGACACTCATACTATACAGACACATATACACTCACACAACACAAACACACTCCACACCAGCATACTCCAAACATACTAACTCACAGAGCAACAAAAAAAAAGCCTACCTGCAATTAACTAATACTTTCCACCAGGAATGTGGTTCACCTCGCAAGTGCACAGACATACACACAAGCACACAGACACACACTCATGCACACATACACACACACGTGCACACATACACACACACATGCACACACACACACACACACATGTTACCACACACATATACACACACACACGTTACCACACACACAAGCACACATACACACACAGACACGCACACAAGGACACATACACACACATGTGCACACAGACACACACACGAGCACACATACACACCCACACACACACACACACACACACACACACACACACACATGTGCTCACACACACACACACACACACACACACGCACGCACAAACTGTCCTCACCTTGAACATGGGCCTGACGTGCTCCTGGTGAGTGGCACTGGTGAAGCTGACCTGCGCGTGGCTCACACTCTCCATCAGAGCCTTGGCCGTGGTGGCCATGTGCTCCATCTCCAGGTTGTAGAGCAGACGCCGCTGCTTGTCCGACGTGATGTCCTCTGTAACACACACAGATGCAGAAAACATGACGCACTTTTGGTTTTTACAGGCATATCTACTCTGCCATAAGCTGGCCAAAAAACTATTTTTTTAAAAAAAGTTTTAGTAGAGGTTATACGGCGCTCACAACTGCATAAGGTTATATGAGTGCCAGAAGATTAGAGGTGTTACAAGAGAGTAACAAACACAAAAAAAAAAGGAGGGGAGATAAGGACGATAGATGTTTGATAGGAAAGAGGAAGCAAAACCACACCAGAGCACCTGCCAACCGTCCACTCACAGACTAGAGATACAAAAACATGATGCACTTTTGGTTTTTACAGGCATATCTACTCTGTCGTAAGCCCTTTTTTTTCCTTCACATCAGTTTCGAAAAAGAGTTGTTTATTTTGTCAGTGTAACCATTGAAAAATCGAGTCACTCTGAAATTTGAATTCTAATTTATTCAAAAACTGGTAACAGTTTCAATTTGATTTTTTTTACACAAGAATGGTAACTGATCAGGCTTTTGATTTAGCAAATTTAAAAAATTCGGCGTTCTGTCAGCTTACGGCAGTACTGCTTAGTGTAAGACTCCACCATGTGCCATTTTGAAAAGTGACGTACGACGGATTCTTACACTAAGCAGCTGATATATGGATTCTTTCCAAGATAATGAATAACAGAAGAAGAAGAAGAAGAAGAAGCAGAAGAAGCAGAAGAAGCAGAAGAAGAAGAAGAAGAAGAAGAAGAAGAAGAAGAAGAAGAAGAAAACG